CTTTCAGTTGCCTGTTTAGAATGTTGTGAAGAGGCTTTGTTCAATTCCTGTTTTCTGGATCTTTGGAACAGCAGCACCCCTCAGCAGTTTGGCCTCAAACTGGAATAATACTGAAAAGGCCCTAAAAGAACTGTACTGTGTGTCCGCTCCGGACTGGATTGTGTACCCTCCCCAGAAGTTTGTACACTGAAACTCTAAGGCCCCGTGTGACTGTCTCTGGAGGTAGGGTATTTAGTAGGTGATTAAGGTAATGAGGCAAGGAGTTTATGGGAGTGGGGCCCTAGGGAATAGGGCTAGGAAAGAAGAAAAGCAGGAGGAGGTTGAAGGGGAGAAGGAGGAAGAGTTTAAAGAGAAGGAGAAAAGAAGAAGAAAGGAGAGAGGGAGGGAGAGAGAGTAGGAGAGAGAGGAAGGGAGTGGGGGGGGAGAGGGAGAGAGAGGGAGTCCTCACCCCTCCCTCCACTGTGGGACGAAGCGAAGAGGAGGTGCAGGACCTTCCTTCCCAGGACACGCGTTGGGCAGCTGCCTCTTGAGCTTGGGCGTCCCAGCTTTCAGAACTGGGAGGAAGGAGAGTTGTTGTTTCAACCGTCTAATCTGTGATCCTTCCTTACGAGAGCTGAAGCTCCTCCACTCTCTGTCTCTCCAAGAAAAGGACCTATGCCTATGTGTTCTGTAATAACAGATGTCCTGAAATATTCATGCCGCTGTGCTACTGTGTCAGAAACAAGGACAGAGTGTTTTTTCCTTTTGTTTTCTGACCCTCTTTTCTCCATCTCCCTTGGGCTTTTCTCTTTCATGTAACAAGAGTAGGGTGCGTTGCTCACAGCAGAGAACATGCATTTAATAAAATTTTGCGTAAGATTTCTTAGAAATGTTTGTTCAAAAGTCCTTGGAGGCAGACGGAGAGCGTGGGATCATTCTCATCTCCATTTCTCCTCAGAATCAGTCACTCGTTGGTTTGATTTTATGTCCTGTGTGTTTTTTGTGCCTCTCTTCTCCCTTTCTTTATTCCCCGTGCCTTTATTCATGTCCACATCATCTTTTATGTAGAGAATTATAATTACTTTCCGAATCTTCTTTAGCTGTTCCTTTGCCTTTCGGTGGCTTTCAGTTGGGTACAGGAGTTTCTTCCAGTGTTTCTCCTTCTCAGCTCCTCTGGGAGCTGCAGACCTTGTTGTACTTGTTGCTTTTATATGAGGCTCCACACTGCTGTATTCACGGCCTGACTGGGCCGAGGGAGGTGTCTTTTTTCATTGCTCTGCTGTGCCAGGAGGCCTTTCTGTTCCTAAAATATGTTCAGTCTTTTATGCCCTCTTCTATTTTCCTATGCAGCTTAAACAGTATTTGAGACCTGGATGAATTTCCAAACTAGCCACTTATTATTATGGAGGCATCAACTGAAATGACCCTCGGTGAATAGTGACAGGCAGTTATCCTGTTTCTGGTTAAAACTTTGCACTAGGACTTCTTTAGAAATCCATCAGTAGCAAACCTTAATTTCCCCTTTGTTCCTCTGTTTTCACCTAGTGCTATTCACACCCAAACTATAACATAATAAAGGGATCCTTTTAGGTTCTGGCTCTCTCCCTGATTTAAAAATAGAGGAACTGGGGTTTTCTCATCTCTTGGGGGTTAGCATTTAACCCAAGATGCTAGAGGTGGGAGAACCAGAAGGAGGCCAACGCCATTTTTGCTCTGCCTTTCCTGTAAAATGGTCATGCTAATTTGCAAATGGCAGCTGAAAGGTTAACGAGCTGTGCAGAATTTTGGTAGATATGTCAGGCCCAGGAGACCAAAATTGAAGTTCTTTGTCCTTCACTATAGAGAGGGCCCCAGGACAGACCTTAGGGGTTGAGACCTCAACAAACTTGCACACGGAGAATGCTTCACCATCACGAATTGACTATAAGCATCTTGAATGCTTCATATAAAAAAATGTTGATTCCAAGAGGAAGCAGAGAGGCAGAAAGAGGAAAATATTTACAAAGAAGAAAATAACATTATTAAAAGTTACTGATTAACCCTAAAGAAGGCAAAAAGAGTAAGTACGGTATACCCATTTTCTTGTTTTATTACATTCCACTTTACTGTGCTTCACAGATATTATTTTATTAATTTTTTTTTCAAGTTGAAGGTGTGTGGCAACCCTGAAACAAATCTATTAATGCCATTAGCTCAGGTGATTGTTAGCATTTTTTAGCAGTAAAGTATTCTTAAATTAAGGCATTTATGCTGCTTTTTAAAGACACAATGTTATTTCTGACATAATGGACTACAGTATAGTGTAAACATAAATTCTGTATGCACTGAGAAGCCAAAAAATTCACAAGTCACTTTATTGCAGTTTTTATTGAATTTTAGTGGTCTGGAACCAAACCTACAATAGCTCCAAGGTGTGCCTATAATGTAGCATATAAAGAAAAATGAATGGCAAAATGGTAGATTTAACCAGATGTACAAGTAATTAAATGTAAATGGATTAAATTCTCCAAGACAAGACAAAGATTATCAGGCTGGGGTAAAACAAGAAAACTTAATTAAAATGCTGTTATAAGGAAACATTTTAGTAGCCTTCTGTTTATTAAGGCCAGTGGAAATTTAGTTTAGTAGGATTTTACTTTTAGTAGTTTTTTTAAAATTGAATTTATTGGTACATTCTAGTTAGACAGTAAAGTTACATTCATTACTGGGATATTGTACCTTTCCATGACAGGTCTTGGTTCTCATTTTTCCCCTTGTCCCCACCCTCCCTTCATCCCCTCTTCCCCTCCCTACCTACAAAGACTTTAATTCCATTTTTACATTTTCTCGTATTTTTTCCCTTTCCCTTATTCCCCTTCCTGTACCCTTCTCACTGTCCCAACATCTTTAGTCCTTTTCTTCCTTTTATTTTTTTATGCTTCCTTACATACAATTTGTTTTCTGAAAAAATATCACTCATTCAGTGCATTTAAATGTCAGACAGTATGGACAAATGCAGTTCTTATATTAATATGCTTTTTATACTGGGTTTAAAAACTTTCTATTAGTACATGTTTGTACTGCATCATGTTTCCGTTCCTTGTAGGGATTTGATGCAGGTACATTGCACATCTTCATTCATTTTTTTCTTCCCCTTTCCATTCCCTCCCTCCCCTTTCCGCCATCTCTGATGCCTTCCTTTTTTTGGCGTATGATTGCAATATATCATGTTTACATTCCTGTGTGGAGTTGCCACATGGACAAAACACATCTGAATTCTTTTTCTCCTCTCCTTTTCCTTCTTCCCTCTCCTTCCCTCTCTTTCTTGACTACCTTCCTCTTTGAGAACGATCTATCTCTTACTTCCTATTTATTATCTGTCTTTTGTTTTGTTCTTTGTTTATACTTGGGTTTCTCATAGATGAGAAACCATGTGATATTTAAAGTTGTGTGTTTGACTTATTTCAATTAATTATCAATATGCTTTTAACTCTGCTCAGGCCTGTGTATGGCTGAAGTGATTTTCAAATCTGTGCATTTTTATATGCTGTTAAAGCTAATTATGTGTGTGTGTGTGTGTGTGTGTGTGTGTGTATGACTATTTCATCTTCAAGATTTATTTCTCAGTAAATATACTGAGTTAGCTCTACTGCAGTAACAAAAGAAATTCTTTTCTGTTGTCTTAGTTCCCTTTTTGATCAAGTTTAAATTTTGTAGCTGAAGCAAGTCTTCATATTCTCATTCTAGTTGTAGATGAAAAAATTAACCGAATTTTCAATGGTGCTGTCTTCTCTTTGCCATGGAGTCAGCTGACCATGGGCTGAAACCTTTACAGAATGAGAGCAACAATAAACTTTTCCTTCTTTAAATTGTGGATGCTGGGTATTTTGTTCCACAAACAAGAAGCTAAGAAGGACACGAGGCCGCCTTTGTGCTTTTTTCCCTTTTGTATTCACCTGCATGGCCTTCCACTTTTCTGTCCTGTCGTGATGCAGCTGATAAGGCCCTTGTACCATGCAGCTACATCAGCTTGTAAATCCAACCTCCAGAACCATGAGCTCCTTGCTTCTTTTATGGGTAAATTACCTGGGCCTGGGTACTCTGTTACAGCAACAGAAACTGCACCAGGACAGGGGGCAACATTATGATCCACCAAAAAACCCAGGCCAACTGTATCTGGGAAATCTGACCAATATGCCGGAGGGAGTTGCAAATGTTCTGAAATGCCCGTGTGATCTCATTGCTGGCAAGGCAACTAAATAGAAGCCATTGTCCCGATTAAAGTAAGAGGCATGTCACACAACTTTCTTTATTGTAGAGCAGTTAATTGTATAGCAATTATTATGCTGTTCATTACTAGAGTTTTTGTCAACATGGTTGTTACATGTATGTTTTATTTTTATTAGACACTTACTATGTTCCAGGCATGGGTGATAAGCCTTATCTCATTGAAACCTAACAACATCCTGATATGTAACTATTTCTCGTCCAATGTATAGAAGATGACATTAAAGGGTAGAATATGTAAGAAACTTGCCCAAAGTCATAGATCACTGTTATCATGCACTATATTTTATTTTTAATTTTTCTTTTTCATGTAAACCAGAAAGTTCATGAATTATTTCTGCTACTCTGTATTTGGATGGTGCAGGAATGGTGATCTCTTGAAGTAATTTATTATAATATAGGATATCTTAAATGACTGGAAAAGTATTTAAGGGGCCTTTAATATAATTCTCCTAAGTTTTTTTTCCACTTTGTTTTTGTAGTTTTATGAAGCTAAAAGCACAGAAAATGATCCAATGAGTCTTCCTCCAAAGAGTAGAAATACTTTCTAAATTTTATATTTTCCAACCAAAACAATAAATCATTGATTCAACAATTTCTATATGCCACAGATTATAGACATTCATCAGCTTGGTTACTGATTGCCAAATTCTTTCAACTGTGGACTGACAACAATAATTATATATCAACTTTTATGCTAAATTTGCAAGAATTGATAGTTTCTGTTTGACAGATATTTCTCAAGATGGGGGAGAGTACTTACTATTTCAGGAAGTTTGGCTCCTGCTTTTTTCTGTGGTCTGAATCCATTGTATTAATGAATTTCCTATATGTTGCTGGAGAATCACTTCTAGCATCTTTACTGAGGAATCACTGTCAGTCCCTAATACTTTGGTGAAACCCTGGCCTGAAGTCTCCTCTTTCATCCCAAAGATTAGAAAAGGATTAAAGGTGAGTGATGGGTTTCTCTAGCTTGCTTTGGCAAATTTATGCACACATGTAGCACTTTAATTGTTTAGGTTTAACTTAAGGTTTATGTTTGACAGTCATATTTGTTAAATCCCAAAGCTGAACTGAACTCTAAACAAACCAACTTCTTGGCATCTCTTTCAAATAGTACACACACAGCAAATATATTAACTTCAGTTTTATTTTAAAATGTCAGCTCAGCTTTTCTTTTACTCATGGAATGATTAAAAGATCTTTTTTACTTAAAAACCCTAAAGTTGGAAATGAATGCTAAATTCCTCTCTTACCATTCAGGAGGACTCTGTCTAGTGATCATATGTTAGAAGAATGTGCTGTTTAAAAAGCCTATTTATTTTTCTTGTTCTATATAACAAGTAGGTCAGGATGGAGACATTCTAACATGATTATACTGATTAAGAATGCCTGTTGAAAATAGGTAATCGTGTTAAGAAAAAGGAAGTTATTATCTGTGTTTCCCAGCACTTTTAGAGATTCTAGTGCAACATTTATCTCAGTCTTGCAGGTATTTGCATAAGGGAAATAAAGCCCAGAAAATTCTGTATTGCTTTCTGCTGTTTGATCCTGCCTTTCTGTGTATTTTGTTGCTGGATTTTGAAAGCCAATCTTGAACTTGTGAAGAGAACCAGGATCCTTAAATAATCAGATTCACTCAGAAGTCATAGGAAAACACGGCTTGCTGGTCACACCCCCAGAGTCTGAGTCAGCAGATCTGGGATGGGGCCCATAAAAAGTGCATTTCTAGCAAGTTCTCAGGTGATGCTGAAGCTCTCAGTTAGGGGACCACACACTTGGAGCCACTGGGGTGAGGAACTTTTAAATGGATCTATCTGGTTGAAGAATTGAAGACTTGTCCAGGCCCTCAACAATGTGATTCATTTATCCTAATGATTAATGTGCTTGGAGATTTGCCCCTCTCAAATAGAACACTGATTCAGGACAAAACAAACACAAATAAATCTCAGCAGCAGTTAGCTCAGCAGTGGAGGTGGTACTGGGTTGGAGAAGGTTCAAACTGGCATATGTAGAACAAAGGACTATTTGACAGGGGTCATTCTTCTGCCATTTTAAAATATATTTATTAATTTTAATTTTTTCTATCTGTTTTACAAATGGTAGGAGAAAGTGCCATATCAATGCATGTTTATTCATAATTTCTCCAGAAAAGAGGCTCAGATTGTGAAAGTGTCCATAGTGATTATTTTTCTAGCAAAAGGAAGCAGTTAGAATATTTCCTATTAGCCAGTAATATTAATTTATTGCTCAAAGTGTCTGGGTTAGGTTTAATACCTCCTTAGCTGCATTAGCAATTTAACACTTATTTATTGTTAACAAATTTTAAAAATGTATAGCACTGTGGCACCTTAATTCAAGGAAACAGTATTTCAGTGCTGTGTGCTATTCAGTATGTGTGTGTGTTTGTGTGTGTGTGTGTGTGTGTGTGTGTGTGTGTATGCATGTGCAGTGCATGTGTATGTTGGAAGTGGGCACAGGGATTTAATTGAGGGGTTTGTGCATGGTGGATCAGTGCTCTCACATTGAACTATGTCCCCAGATCTTTTAAAATGTTATTTTGAAATAGTGTCTGGCTAAGTTGTTCAGGCTGGCTTCAAATTTATAATCTTTCTGCTGCTGCCTCTTGAGTAGCTGGAATTACAGGTATATGTCAGCATACCTGGTTAAATACTGTACTATTCAACTTTAAATGTCTGCTATTATATTACTATGCAAGATTTATGTGGTTAGAACTTCCTAGTAATCTTTTCTATTTTTTCTTTTCAATTTTTTCGTGTGATTTCTTGAAATAGAATGGTGTTTTTAAAATCTAGTGTGAAAATCTCTGTCTTTCAATGAACAAGTTTTATCCTTTATATTTATTGTGATTGCTGCTACATTTCATCCATCTTCTGCTCTGTAATTTTTCATTTTCTATTACCGTATTTCTTCTCTTTGTTTTTTCTAACATTAGTTTTTACCTTTAATTAGAAAATAGTTTACCATCTTTTTGACCTTCTACTAGTTTAGAAAATAATCTCTTTTAGTTCTTTTAGAAAATGTCTTAAACCTTTAGCATTCATTCATGACAAAGTATAATCTTCATTAAATTTTGACCTACTGTATACAAGCATTTTATCATCACATTACTCTTATTTGGGGAGGATAATTTCAATCTATTATTTATTCTTCTTTGTCTTTAAACATTTCTTACATGTGCACATTCATAGGTGGACCTTATTATTAATATTATTGTTTATGATTTTTATTTAGATGCGCTCCAAATATCAGTGCTATCTTTGCTCTTTAGAAGCAGGAGATAGGGGCCCTGGATTTAGCTCAGTGGTTCCGCTGCCTGCCTTGCAAGCACAAGGACCTGAGTTTGATCCCCAGCACACCACACACACACACACACACACACACACACACACACACACACACAAAGAAAACCAGGAGATACTGTGAAAGGTGTGACATTTTAGGAGCTAACATCGTCTCCAGTTTCCTGATGCTGTAAAAGGGATGAGTCTTCCCAAGTCAAGAGACAGGACTGCTTCTGATGGAATGGCAGGAACTAGAGGTTTCTGCATTTTCTAATGATTCCTTTTATTCTCCAAGTTCCAGAGGGGCAATTCTTTGATTTTTTGGTATGTTTTAGGTTGTGTGCTATGGAAGATTTTATTTGCCCTCTTGCTGATTTAAGACATTATATTTTAATATGTGGAAATACTAAAAATTTAAGCAGTTTTTATAATGGGAGCTCAGATCTTTTTTCATATTTTAAGTGAAAACTGAAACTGAGAATATATTACTTTATGAAAATTGCTGCTATTTAGTTTTTATTTATCCTACTCTTAGTGAATTAAATAGTGAATATTAACAATAATTACTGAAGGAAAGTTTTGAATGGTCTAGAAAAATTGCTGAACATGTCCTGATAGAAATTCCTTATAGATGGGCCAGGGATTTAGGTCAGTGGTTCGGTGGCCAGCCTTGCAAGCGTAAGGACCCGAGTTCAATTCCCTGTACCAAAAAAAAAAAAAAAAAGAAATTCCTTTAGAATTTCTCATAGAACTTTTCTTTTGGACTAAAATCTCATGATGGATTTGAATAAGCAATAGATTAACATCTGCCTTGGATTTAGCCCAGTGACACCTGTTTTGAACTTCTGGAAATGTAATAAAATAAATAAATGCATTATTTCAACCCACTAAGAATGTTGTCATATGTTGTACCAGCAACAGGGCACTAATACTGAATAGCATTTGATTATGATGGTTTCAAAATTTAATGGATTATGAGAAAGTGCCTTGTAAACTGAAGTACTATAGAAATGTTAATTATTGCTAATAAAGTTAAAGTGGGTTCTAACAACTCTAATTATAAAGATGAGCTCTGTTTCCAAAAACATCTAGATTAGATACGGGCTAGTAGGTCTTTGCCATTTTCATCAACTTTAACACGTTTCCTTCCAAACTAAATTAACCGAACCATTAGAAGCAACTCCTCTGGGACCAATCTAAATTAATTTTTCAGTTTTGTCTCCAAAATATTTCCTAAGCCATAAATTAATAGGAAGCAATATTTCTCTGCTGAGCAGAGCAATTGCTTAAGTTTTCAGTCCAGTGGTGTAGCACACAAATGGCCTGAGAATTAGAGTCTTTACTAGTGGAAAATTTTTAAGTAAAACAAAAATTATTGTTATATGGCATAGTCCACCACAGTATAATGCTAATGATAAATTAGCTATTTAAAAATAGTCTGCAACTGAGGAAACCTTTTCTAGCTCAAGAATGTACTAGTGCCTTCACTCTCTCTTTCACCTGATTCCTTTCTTCCTTCAACAACAGCACTTAGTTTTTACCATTAATTATCCCTCTTGAGAAAATATGACCCTGATTATCAGCAACAGGCTTTGGAGATAATCCAACTGGTACAGATTATAGGAGTTTACTTCTTGCAGCCACTGGTTTCGTCTCTGGGCCTTGAAAACTTTTACATTCAGGAGCAGCCATATTTGAAATGAATATGAACTGACATGTTTGGTTAGCTAGTCACATATTTAGCATAGGTCCTTGTTATATGTTTCTATGTTTGATGGAGGTACAGTGTTGCTTTCCAGTATCACTTTTCCATGACAGCGCGGCCCCAAGGCCTGGACAGCAATATCCCTATGTCAGTGTTTTACCCCCACCTGAGCCGGGTCCTCTTTCCAGGTGAGAATGACACTCAGCTAGGCTCGGGATGAGCCAACCTTGCTCACAGCTGCAGGTATCTATGTTGCACTTACAGTGCGCTTTTCTCTTCCTCTTTTTATTTTTTGCGTCTTAATCATTCTTCATTTTCAACTCAAGCTTAGTGGCTGTATCAGCCGGCAGTATTGCACCTCACACTTCTTAGAGAATTTGGTGTCTACATTGTAGTAAAACTCCTTCCTGGAGTTTAAAGTCCATTCAGCCGATTCAATCGGTAACTTTCATCTAATGAGAAATCTGTGGCCTTAGTTGTTGGCGGATTTTCCATAGAATCTTCTAATTGTTCGTGGAAGCCCCTGCAATTTTGCAGAAACTACAAATATACTCCGTGCCCCCGTTTTTTGAGGGAGGTTTGCAAGTAGCCAATCTGACATTGTTACTCAGCTCTCCTTGCTGCTGATTGGTTGCTGCCCTTTAGCCCATATCTCAGTCAGATGCACCTGTATTCCCCCATCACAACAGGCTTGCTCTTGGCTTTTGTTCTTAAAGCCCTAAGATCCCTAAGAGGCCGGCACAACGCCCCACACCTGCTAAGGCTTTACTTATGGAGTATTTTATGAAATTAAACTATATAACTACAGGAACTATAGCATGCTTAGGGTTGGAAGACTGCAAATGAAGCCGATGGTATAATTTACTTTCTGGATTGCCGCATTCTATTGGAAAGGAAAGAAGAGAAGGCAGAATGGATCCAGCGGCGGACCTACTGCAGGTGGATCGCATCGGGCTGTTTTTAATCATTGAAAGCTCTCAAAGGCTCGCCTTCGCTGGGGTAGACCGCGCGAACTTGGGATCTACTCCAGCTCAGAAACCGAAGAAACGTCTCTTATTACCCTTTCTTCAGGTAGGGCTCAAAATTCTGATTTAGTGCTTCTGGGTGGAGTTAGAGATTTAACGTTTCTGATAAGCCTCAGGGGATGCCAACACTGTTGACTTTGCTTTGAATAAGAAGGTTCAAAACAGAATCTGCAAAACCAGGCTTTTGATTCCAATTTTCATTTTAATTAACGCAATCAATTTATGCAATTTTTTTGTTGTTGTAGAAATGCATACCGATAAATTTGTAATCAGTGCTGGAATGCTTAGGAGAATTTTAAATTCGCTACATTTGTAATTTTAATTTATTTAAACTTTAATGATTTGTTCCTAACTTGGCAAAATTTTGCTTGGTAAGATCATAAATTTACTCAATCAGGCATATGAAGTAGGGCACTTTATAAATGCAGTTTGATAATTTTAAGGGAATTTAATTAAGTTTTTAAAAATCATACTGCTTGTTGTAGGGGAATTTATTTTGCCTTAGTTGAGTTGATCAAACACTAATCCAAGTTCTTTTCAGAAACTGCTTTATTTTATACAACATTTACTAGTTTTATAAATAACCAAGAAGATTTGCATATTGAGCTTAATGATTTGACATAAATCATGTCTTTTTTTCACTTTAATAAATAAAAATACATTTAATGCATCAATAGTCCTGGTTCCTTTTATGGATCAGTAACTGATCCATACTGATGGGACCCTGGATAAAATCCAATCTGACATTCCTAACAGTCCATCCAATTGTCTTTGGCAATGTTGTATTTTCTTTGCATTGCCAGGCTTTATTTTCCCTCTCCCTCCCCGCTCTCCCTCCACCTTTCTCCCTCCCGTCCCCTC